GTGTATATGCTATCTTAATTTCCCAGTGTTTCCCTTGTTGACAATAGCTAGGAATTTCAGAATTTAATTCTGAATGTCAGTACCTGCAAATCTATTTTTGAGTTCTTACCATTTCTGCAAGCAAAACAAGGCCACTGAAGTTCCATCTGAAGCAAGAATCGGAGTTAATTTTGAATGCTTTGTGTTATGGTTCTCAGGGGAGACTATTCAGGGGGTGACATGGAAAGCCCCTGGGGTTTGCCTGGGGAGCTGCACTGAATCAGTCTCAGATCTGACAACACTATCCCTCCTTGCAGGGCAGATGTAGTTTAAAGCATAGAAGTGTAGGCTCCTATAATCTATCAGATTAAATAATTCCATTGGCATTCATCACGTAGCTATACAGACAGCAGTCATGTGGTATATAGAAATTGAGAGTCTGAACTAGTACAGAGCTGACCACCTGCTCTAAAATGTCACAGATGTAATCCCAAGCTTTATTGCATCAGTAAAAACTGGGACAAATCCCACTGAAGTCAGACATTAAACCTGCGTGAGATCGGAATAAAGGTTTTATTAGTTGTATGTGTGACTTAAACACTTCCCACTATTCACATTGGTTTTTTTCTATGTAATGCAAGTTACACTGTTCAAGAATAAATATTGCTAAAAAAATCCCACCCACTTTTGCCTTCCTCTTTAGTCTTTCACTTTGTGTGAGCCAGGTCTATGCTGCAGCATTGCCTTAACATTTCCTAAACTTGATGTGTGAAATGGCAGCATGGATCCTTCTCTTAGAGATCCCATGGAAGGAGGTGAAGGACCTGTCTGGGATCAGCCTCTGAGAGAATGGAACTGACACCCTCAAGTCTCCCTCAAGCCCCTCTCCTCAATCCATCATGGTACTGCTGTGCTTTTGGTTTCCAGTCACATGCAAATCCTCCCCTCAGCAAGATCTGCATCAGAAGACTTCACCACACAATCTTGTAGTGAACCACCACCACTGTAAGAGGAAGCCTAAAGAGAAAATAGATCGTTAAATAATTCTACTAATGAGAATTTTCCTCTTTCTGTCAAAGTTCTGCTCTCCAGCTCCCTCGTATCACTCTGAGAAAACTACATCCAGCAGGCCGTATCTTCCATTTCTGTGGAAAAAAGAAACCAAAACAAAATAAGGACAAACCATGAGAGTTTGAGACAAAACTGTTCCCATGAGAACTCCCTTTTCCATAATTGCTGTTATCTGATTATTGTGGGAGAAGGGTTTTTTTTTCACCTTTACCCCCGCCTAGGACAAGTACCATGTCCCGATGCCAAGTCTCAGGAATCCAAGACGGCCAAGATTATTGACCCAGGGAATATGTGCCTCTGAGTCAGATCCTGAGGTCAGGAGGATCCTGACAGCTGTGTTTTATGTGTTTGAAGGATCTAATTTTCAAGGAAGCAGGGTAATAGTTATTGCCCCCCATCCCACTCTTTCTACCCTTCAGCTCTCCAGCTGATCAGATCCTACTCCCTCAAGACTTGACTATCCTTGTGATATGGCACAGACACTGTGACTGCGGCAGCTGAGCTCTCACTCTCTGCCCAACAGAAATATTTCCTTCCTGGTAGCTTTTACCTTAGGATATAAGACCAGAGATCCTGCTCTGCCCTGTTCTTTGGCTCATCTATTGGGGTTATTCTGTGTGCTCTGCCAGCAGCGTGGAAATGAGCAAATTTCTGTTTTCTGACCTTAACGAGAATCACATTTAGTAGATTTGTGCAATAACGAAGATTAAAAAAAAAATATCCTCCATATGACCAGTGGGCTGTGTCACATGCAAATCTGACTAGGGCTATTTGTAATAACTTGACAAAAGCTGTCATTCGATATTTTAAAACATATTTAATCTCGGAGCCTGAGAAACCAATTCTGTCGCTTTCACACATTTGGTTTCACTGTCTACTGTACAAATGTGGGACTTGAAACTTCTACATTGCCCAGCAGCTTTAGAGCCATGTTTCTGCTTCATTATCCACAAAGACTGCAGACCACAAACATCTATGAGCGGTAAGTTGAGGTGGTTATTGTACAAAATGTGGTGTGTAAAACAAAACCAAGATTCGTATTAAAATTCCTTTCTCAGACACTGAGAACATAAATAAGAATCAACAGAGGTTATTTACAGTGCTAGACAATATTTTACTGCATACTTCCATTTACAGGGTTTTTTTCTTTTGTAAATTGCTGCTAAATATGTGTGTACTGGTCATACCAGACAGTTCAAAACTTTTTTTAAAACCTAAATCTCTGAAACTGAACAAAGTAATGAACAATTTTTATGACACTGATGTTAAAAAACCTTGGCTTGTGTTGTGTGGTAGATAATGCTTTCAATTTAGGCTCCCCCTTATGCATTCAATTTGGATTTAATACCTTCTGAGCCAAATTCTGCCCTCACTTAAGAGCCTCATCATCCCAAGTGCTGACAATGGGGACTGCAGAGGATAAGTGAGAGTAAGGCTTCATCATTTGTGCTCAGTGAGCGTGGTTAATTCCTCATCAACACAGCGAGATTAACCCCAATTAATAGAGGTTCATTTTCCTTTTGAATTACTGTTTCAGATGATCTAATGGTATTTCTTTAACCCTTATCATAGCAGGAAAGAGCCTTTCATCTGATGTTACCGTTGAGCAGCTGAATTCTCCTTTGCTTTCCTAAATCTCTGCAAGAGGTTTGCCACCCAACAGTTTTGACTCCCTATTTTTTTCTGCACTTACTTTCCTTTTTTCACACCCTCCATGGGTGTGAAATATTTTTGCTTCGAGGAAAGGAACATCCTACATTCTTCCTTAGGAGCGTCTTCTGGACGCACTGACGTTTTCTGTTAAATGGTCTCAACATAATGTACAAATAATGGAGCTGGTCTGTCAGTGATTCTCTCTCCTCCCTGTGACACAGCTAAAGAGTCACAACATGCTGTATTTTAGAGAGGGTCAATCGATCTGCTGCAACCACAACATCCTTTTACAGAAGATCTATCCAGATTCATATAAGGCATGTTCCTGGGCAGGCAAAAAAAGTGAACTGAGAAACTGTCCTTTGTCCAAGATCACCCCTGGCAGTGTCCAATGCCAGCTTGGATGGGGCTCTGAGCAACCTGGTCAAGTGGAAGGTGTCCCTGCCCATGTCAGGGGAGTTGGAACGAGGTGATCTTTGGGTCCCTTCCAACTCAAAGCATTCTATGATTATGTGATCTACTGGGCATCTGAACCCTGGGACATGCAGAAAGAAAGCTTTGATCACCGGCCCTCGATTGTGCAACTTGCAGCTCAGAAATGAAAGGCGTGTGAAGGTGGATGTGAAGATGGCCCAGGGCTGCCCCACTGTCTCTTTGTTCCTTTGTCTGTTGTGTACACAGACACTTCTCGACCATGATTTAGAGCAGCCTGGTCATGGTTTCATCCAACTGTGTGGGTAAGAGCTCCAAAATAGGACCCTGTGATCAAAATGTCCGGAAACATGAGGTCATGACATCAAAAGGCCAGTTCCGTAGTGAAAGTATGGCTTTCAGGTGCCGCTGCCTTCAAAGGTCAGCACTAAAACAAAGGAGAAATCTATATTTGGGAACATTCATGCAAAGCACTACCGTTTGCTGTTTGCCAGAGGTACCAAGGCAATTAGAGATTACAAAAAAAAAAACAAACAACAAAAAACCCCCCAAACAAACAAAAAACCCCCAATCCAACCTAACAAACAAAACCAAGCAAACAAAACCCAAAACAACAACAACAATTAAAAAAAAAAAAAAGGGAAAAAAATTTTCCAGCTCATGGAAGTAAGAAACAGAGGTTAGTTACATAATTAAACTAGGAATGTCATTACTGAGCTCTGCAATGACCTGCACAGAGCTGCATGAACCTACAGTGGTAGCGAATGGCCAACTTTCCCGGGAAAGTTTTTTGTTATCCTTGTATTGCTTGGTTTTTTTATACCACATCTGTGCTTGCTTCGTCATTCTGCCATCTGCTGTAACAAAATACAGACAAAGCATTTCAGAGAACAACCTCTCCACACTTTAAAATGCTCCAAGCCAGAGAACAGCCTTTTATTTCTCACAAGCTGTAGTGCCTATCATCCTATCCTCCTCCTCCTCCTCTTCCTCCTCCCCCTGCCCCACATGCATGATGAATTACACACGCTTACCAAGCGTGGAGAACACAGAATCCCATTGATTTTGCCACAATGTTTCTATTAAAGGAAATGAATGTTTCTGCGCTTTTGCTTCGCTGAAAGGTCAGAAATAGCAGGTCATTATCATCAGATTTTTAATTTTGAAACTCCCAATCAGGCTCGTTTCCTGTTTGGTATTGTCTGCAGATACACAATGTACAGCAGAGAGAAGGACTCGGGTTGCTAAAGGATGGAAATAACAGAGTAAGAGGAGAGTGGTTTTGAGCACACACTCTGTAAAGTCCAGTCAAAGTTTCTTCCTGGTGCAGCCGCACAAATCTCTTGGTAGCAGTAAACTCGCTGCACAGACTTCATTCCTGAACACATGTTCAAAGGTGATAAAATAAATGCAGATGGTTTCCCAAAACCTCGGTGGAGCATTTTTTGCTGTTACTAAATGGACTGTAAAAAAACTAGGGGGAAAAAAACCAGAGAAAATACAGTTTGACACAGACAGGCAATTTCAGAATAGCATTTGGTCATCTGGGAGAAAATCTAAATAAAATGTGTGTTTATAAGATCCATTGGCAAAACAATATTGACAGAGCATCTGAGCTGCCTATTGGAAGTGATTTTTAGAATGGTTAAATTAAACAAGCGTTGCGAGCTGAATACTTTACTTATTTACTTAACACATCCAAACAAATAGTTGGATAGGAATTTTGAATTCATTGTGCCATGACCAAAGTTGACAATAAAACCATCCCCAGCTACAGTGAAAGCAGAATTAGACCTTAACAAATTTATTACAGGCTTTGTTTACAAACTTGTTACAAAATTATACAGCATCTTATGCGTACACAGGATTTACAGGAACGCGTTACTGATGTGTGTGATTGCTCCACTCTCTGGTCAAGATCTGCAGGTTTTTCTTCACCTGAGGCCTGATCCAGCTTCCACTGGAGAAGGTGAGATTTTTTTTTTTTTTCCCATGGACTTTAGTGGAAGCTGGATCAGATCCAGAGGGTAACACTTCCGTTCATTGTTTTCCTGGGGTGGGAAAGAGGCAGCTGACCTAACAACCTTACACACCACGCTTCTTTCTCATTTCATGTGTTTCAGATGACAGGAGTATTTACTCTGAGACATTTTTGCTGGCTGCTTGTGTTAGAGTTAAGAGTCAAAGACCAGTTCCTCTTACTGGATCTACAGTGGAAAACGACAATTGGTTTTCTTTGAACCTTTAAAGAACGAACCTCCCTTGATTTTCAGTGAGAAGAAACTAAGGTATTAGGATCAACTCTGATGTTGTTTACATTGCTATAAAGCTACATTTTCTCCACTGTCTTCAAGAGAATTTCTCTGGATTTACAGTGATGTAAATAAAAGTGGCATCCTCACTGCAGGAACAAGGTAGTTTGTGATTAATAGGATTTAACCAAACTAAGTTAGTCTTCTTACCTCCTCTTCTCACATGGAGATAGACCTGTCTGGTATCGTGAAACAAGATTTCTAAACTTAATGATCCATGACAATATCAGCTCTCAATTACTCACAGCATCTGCAAATGATCTTTATTTGGGAATTCAGGGTGCAAAATTAATTTTTTAACTTGCAAAAAAAATCCAGTGGGGCAAGACTCTGAAAAATATGCTTTTACCCCCAAGCTAAAAAATTTTAGTTGAAATTTAAGCTTTCCTACTAGTAAAACTAGCAAAATCTCTGTGGGGGATTTATTTTTTTTTTAATGTTTGCCAGGGAATGAGAAAACTGGAAATATTCTAGTCAGATCTATCAGATACTGAGTTCCTTGTTATATTACATCCTCTCGTTTTAACGATTGCCTTGGTATGGAACCTCTGAAGTTCTTATTGCTTGAAGCAAAGTAAGGATTTAGTACTGCAAGGTGATGATATTTCCTGGGAGGTAAATACCCTGGCCTCATGCTGAGAATTGAGATGGTTCTCAGAAACCTTGCTTATGGCCTCCCCTGCAGAAACACCACCTACACGCTCCAGCCTGGCTTCCAGAGACACAACTATTCCAGTGCTTGGCCTCATGGGCAACCTGTCTGGTTCTCCGGTGGTTTTATGGTGTGTAACGCTCTCTGTAAGGGATTAGGGGAGACCACACAATTTGCTGCCTGTCACGGCCTGCTGCAGGTTTGAAGTTGGTTTTCCAGGAGTGAAAGCTGCACGAACAAAAGAATCCTGAAACCTCGGGTTTGAGTGCTCTGATCTCATTTTCACTTGTGATGCTGAACACGCAGTGAAAGCTGGAGTGGAAAACCTTCAGACACTACAGCTGTAAAGCTGTTTGAGTGGCTGGTGTTTTCCAGCCCTTCCTGGGTGTTAGATCTAACCGGACACAGATAACATGCAGTCCAATCTTAATTCTGTTGATAGCCATGGACTCTCCTTTATTTTATGGGAGTGGGATCCCATCCAGGGCATTACACAGCTAGCGTGCAATAGACCTTCTCTTCAAGTAGTGTCATTATTCCTGTCCCCAGTGGAGCTACATGACAATCCAAAGAAGAGTTTGAGGTATATATTTGCAAGTACATTTGTCTGTCCTAAGCAACAGATCTGTTTAATTGAGGAACTTCATTATTACTACAGACTCTGTGGATTTTAATCACCATCCATTTCAAGTTCCTGTGAAAGGTACCAGGTTTCTCCAGCAGTTCTACACATTTTTCACCCTGTGAAAAATGAAGAATGGATTGTTGAGAAGAATGGCTTTGTATGGGTGTGTGGCTTTGATATCCATGCCAGGATATCGTGTCTTTCTTTTCTACAATTTCCAAGCCAAGGGCTCTTTTCAGGTCGAGACACCACCAGCTTTGTTTCCAATTTAAAAACTGGCAGAGAGAAATGATCCAGCAATGCAAGCAGAAGATAATGATTCATGTGAGGAGAAGGAGGCTGATCACAATAAACCATCTTTCATGTATTATATTAATGATCCGTTTAGATTGGTCCTTGGCTTCAGTAAGTTTCAGCTACAAATATTTTATATTTTTTCATATTTTTTCAATGATGCACTGGTAGCATTAGAAACAGTTGCAAAACAAATGTGCTTCAGAAACATAAACGGAAGTTGCTGGATTATTAGCAGCCATCCTGAAATGCTAACAGAGGAAAAATGGTAATTTCACTGGCAAAACTGGCATAATACACAGAAACTTTATTTTAGGGCTACCTGACGTCTGTAAATTTGACATCATCTGCAGGCTACAGCACGTACTTTGGTCCATGTTTGTTTTGGCGGTGAGGAGTTAACATTGCATCCAATTAGATGTGAATGTATAGAGCAGGGAATATAAATATGTACACAACTCTTGGCATTGATCTGATTTTTAACAAGTTTACTAAATGACAGTCACTGGTTTGACAATACTGAATGAAAAATACTGATTTTACACAGATTTTACAGGAAGGTTACGGTATGCTGCCGACAAGCAGTGTCACAAACATAGTCTAAAAAAAACCTGGAGCTGCCCACAGCAGAGGCACACACCCTTTGCTCTTGTTTATTGAGAGAGAAAGCTTATATACTGTAGATTTGCTGAAGTTTAATAAATAAGGTCAACTTATAATATATATAAAACAATATAAACATTTATATGCTACATGCATATCATATAATTTAAAGTAATAATTTATATAGCAAAGAGATGCAGATCTATGTTCTTCCTATTTTCCTCGACAACGCGCACACACAGGAGGTGTCTATCCTTATCCATCTCCAGCCCACCAGTTTGTTGTTTTCTGAAGTCAGTGCTCTAACATAAGTTTGGGATGTCTTGCATTGGGAATTCCAGTGCTTGTCATCGATGCCACGGCAGCCGTTTTTCACGGGCTTGGCTTCTTTACACCTCGTTTCATAAAAGTATTGCTTAACTGGAGAGTTGCCCGTTTTAATTTCTCCCAGAACAGTTACCTGGTGTCCTCTGATGTCGATGGCAGAGGATTTGTCCGTGACCCACAAACTTTCACTGTCACAAACGGAATATTCCCCTCGGTGGCCCTTGTGCTCCGCGTACCTCTTCCGCCGGGAGGTTCTGTTCACCACGGAATTCCCAATATAATCCTCCATGAGGTACAGCGGCGGCGGCTCCAGCGGCGTGTTGTCACTCAAGAGGACTCGGGGAGAGTTGTAGCGTCTCTGCTGCCTCAAGAGATCTGTATCCACTGAGATAACTGGCTGGAAGTCTGATTTCACATTTTCCTCTCCGTCCGTGTCTTGCTGAGTGTCTGCTTTCTGCACCGTGCTTTGATAGTTTTCCTTAATATCTACCATCTGCTTGGAAAGCTTGTTTTTTAAAATGTCTGCTTGGATAAGTTTGATAATAAGAGAATTTATCGAATCTTCTGGCAAACTCCTTTGATCCATGTTGGTAGACTGGATGCCACGAAGATAAGCGAGAAATATCACATAAAACAAGATGGACATCACCTTGTTCACCTGTAAGATCTGCAAAGAAACAGAAAGTCAACATAAAAACAATTAAAGGGGGAAGTTTTTCAGAGGCTGTAAACATGAAAATTGGGAATTTTTATTATAACATCTGCACTTTATAGATGCAGATACATATAGATACAGAAGCACAGGCTATGGGTTTCTTTGAAGATATTTGTTACACTTTATAAAGAGTGTCACTCATTTCTGAGGGGTTATTTTCATTCTCTTTCTCTCTATGGTGCTATAAGGGAAAATACTCTTGAAGGAAAATCGTGCAGACAAGCAGCAAAATGGAGTTTTTTGTATTTTGAACTTCAGAAAATACTAACTAGGCCCCTTTGTAGGGAATTCAGATGGATCCACAGATCTTTTGGTAGTGAATTTTTGCAGAGTTGGAACCTGTTGTTTTATTTTGTTCAATTTGGGTTTTTTTGTTAAATGAGGTTGCTTCATTACATTTATATAAAATGGAACAAAACTGACAGTAATTAGAAATATTCAAGAGCAGGTGGGTGACACCCCTCTCCCCACCCCCCTCAAAAAAGAAGAATTTAGTTCAAAGGTAGAAGATTTTGAAAACTGTGCATAAAAACGTGTTACTTCTTTGCCATCCACTGCTATATGTAGATTCCTGTGGGCGTCCTTTCAATTATAGCTTCAGACCATATTCTAGAAGCTCCTTTGTAATTTCTTTTTAAGCCTTTGTGTTTTTGTTTTGTTGTTTTTTTTTTTTTTGTAGTTGAGAACCACGCACATCCATCTAAGGTGTTTTTATTTCCTGTGGACACCTGTATATTTTGTATTAGCACCCATACTTAAAGGAAATCAATTTTCAATATAAAAATACTGATGGAAGCAAACCATTCACTTCAGAGCACACCTCTTTTATAAACTTGTTGCATAAGTAGTGGATTGAAGAATGAAATATCAAACTGAGAGCACCTTCATCCCATGTCATAAACTCTGGCTGTAGCACTGATTAAAGTGACTCAGAACAGTCTTGAATATGATTCTCCTGCACTGCAAACACATCTACCACACGTCTGATACCACCAACACTCTGAGATGAGGGCACAGAGTCACAGACCATGGAACAGATGGAGCTGAAAGGATCCTCAGGACATCATCTAGACCAATCCCACTGCTCAGAGTAGCATCAGCCAGGGCAGCTTGCACAGAGCTGTGCCCAGTCAGGTTTTTAATATCTCCATGGATAGAGACTCCACAAGCCCTCTAGGCAACCTGTTCCAGTGTTTGACCACCCTTGCACTTAAAAAAAAAAAAAATTGTCATGTTTCAGTAATATTTCCTATATCTCATTTGTTCTCATTGCCTATTGTCCTTTCATGGGACACCTCTAAGAAGAGTTTTGCCCCATCTTTTTTACTACCTCCCATCAGATATTTCTGCACTTCAATAAGATCCCCCTGAGCCTTCTCTTCTCCAGCATGAAGAGCCCCAGGTCTCTCAGCCTCTCCTCATGTGGCAGTTGCCCTAATCCCTTGATCATGTGCATGGACTAGCTCCTGTATATCCAGGTCTCTCCTGTACATCCATGTCTCTCTTGTACTGGTTGGCCAGAACTGGACACAACACTGCAGATGTGGCCTCCCCAGTGCTGAGTTGAGGGGAAAAATCCCCTCCCTTGACCTGCTGGCAACACTCTGAGTATTCTGTTTTTTTCACAGGAGAAACTGTGGAAATATCAGACATCTTGAACAGAAAATTTTCCCCTTTAAAAAAAAAAAAAAAAGAAATCATAATTTTCTGTTTGAGTGAACCATTTTCTGTATAAGAAGGCAAAGAAAAAAAAGGTGAAAAAAATTTTACTGCACAACCCTCTATCCACAATAAGTAAAATTCCTTTTTGCAAGATTGAGTCCCCACTTCATAGTTTGGAACTGCAGCAAAATCAGAGCTACCCTCTGTGGATGTGTGAGCTGCCCTTTTATGGACAAGAAATGTGTTTTCTCCATTCTCAGTTTGTCACAGTATGAGTTCACCTAAATCTAGACTGTTGCTTGCAGCAATGTTTTGCTTTGGGGGGGAAAAAAAATCTAAGATGTTCAGTTACCATACAATTACTGTCACACCTAAATAAATACTAACTTAATGTAGATGGATCTCAGAGCCCAGACTGTACTGTATGAAAAATTGCAGAGCAATTTAGTCTTCTCTCAGAAAATTATTTGCTTTTAAAAACAGTAAAAATATTATTAAACAGATGTCATTCAGCAGATTTCTTGCAGCACTCAGGAGAGCAAACCCACTTGCAGCATGACACACAAATCTATAGGATGGTGAGCAAAGCTCTGACAACGCTCTGCTCAAAGGCTGAAAGCATTATTCATGCCAACATGCAGCTGCATGCAATCACTGCTCTGCTTAGTCTCAAAACTAAGTGGCACTAGCAAAATACACAAGTTGGAGCAGGTGATGAGGTGGGAAAAGTAAGATTGGAGTTCTTGCAGACTCTCTTTAATGTCATACTGCACACAAAAAAGAAGGGCTGGGGACCTCGGAGTTGGAACAGTTCAAATAAGCTATTTTTCTTGTCCATGGAGGAACCCCATTAACGGGGAAAATGCCTAAAAGTATTTTGCTGAGCTTCATGTGATATGTCTTGTGGATTTGGTGGGAAAGATGTTAACCTACTCTGAAGTTTGATGTGTAGTTTGATTTACAGTTGGCAAATTATTTGCTGCAAAAGTAAAAATATGCCAGAACAAACCTTTATCCTTTTTCTGGGTGCAAAATTTTGACAGGAGACACAAACGTTTGGTAAGATTACAATTTTCAGGGAGTTCTTCCGAGCCAATTCACCAGGAAGGTTCATCAGTGGTGTTCAGAAATTCCAGGACTAGAAACAGTCAGTCTGTCCATAAAGTCCAGCACCTCAGAATATAAGACACTGTTTTAGGTGGGAGAAAAGGACATTACTGGGAAACCACAGCTGTTTTATGGCCTTGTCTCTAATATGGTCATAAGACACCTTAAAAGTATATAGGTTTGTAGGTCTGGGGAGAATTGCTTTTGATAAATGGCCCTTTGCCCAAAATGGAACATTGTGCCTGTCCGAACTGAAGATAATTTGAAATTATTTTTTTTTGGCATATGTGTTGTTAAATCCATAAAAAGCAGAGGAAAATGTAAAACTTCAAAATGTTTATGTTTTCATATTTTCAAAGCAAATCATTCTGATGTTTCTGAACATGCTTCAGATGTTACACAATGGAATTCACAAAGCAGAGCAAGTGCTTACTCAGAGTAGCCCAGTGAGTAAGTTATCTATGGAGGAGACTTGGATTAAAGGTAAGATTTCAACACAGGTATCCTGTCTAAGAGAAGACTGACTTAACTTCCAGGCTCCTGGGGCGTGGGCTTATATGGATCTCGGGAAAAGTTCTTTCTTTGGCCTTTTGAAGAATGGTATAAAAATCTCCCAAGTATTTAGCCCTTCACATGACTTCTGTTCTTTTGTTAATTTTTTTCTTAAATTCAAATGATTCATTTCAGGTAGAAAGACAGATTTTGTTCAAGCCAAAGTTTTCTTAGTCAGCTGATATCACTGAGATATTTTCGTTGTTCTACAAGGTTCTTCTTGAAATTTTCCACATGCAAATTCCTAACAAAAGTTCATTTTGGCTGTCCATGTGGACTGTTGGTAGGCAAGTAAATGTGCTGAATGGCCCTAGAAATGGACAGAATACTTATTTACACTCCTACAGGTAGTACAGATTAGATTACATTTAGGATCTGAGTTCGGGTCCCAAAGCCATTCCACTGGGAAGTCATTCCCACTTGTCCTGTCGCTAAAATTCCTGATGAAGAGCCCCTCTCTGGCTTCCTTGTAGGTCCCTTCAGACACAGGAAGGCTGCTATGAGGTCTCCATGCACCAGTCTTCTCTTCTCCATGCTGAACAGCTCCAATACTCCAGAAAACTGTTTTTCCTGAGCTGCTGAGAAGCTACGCACCAGTTCTGCTGTCGTGCTCTGCTATTCTTTGTGCCCTTCAAGATGTTGGGTCACACCTTTGATGCTTTGAGCTCTGGCTAGAAGTAATTAAAAAGAGGGTGAGGAGCATATGGCTCTCATACCAACCCTTGAGTGCGCTTGGAAAACACTCTGCTACGTGCAGTTTGGAAAAGCACTGGACATCAAGGTAGGAGGATTCTTAGAGTTTGTCCCTTTGCAGAGCTCTTCTTTCAGAAATACACTGGTTTTCAAAAGTGATTACAGACTTGGCAACAGAAACAAAGAAGATCCTGAGGGGAACAAGGACTATAACTAAGTGACATTAAGCATCATGAATGCTCCAAAGGATTTGTGGGAGAATATATCACAGCATGGTTGGAAAACCAGTATATCCTGGTAGGACTGCTAATTTGCACTAAGCGAGTTTGACTCAAACATTGCTGACACTGTGGCACAGCAGGCAAAAGCAAACAGCACAGAAAAGGAAAGCTCATGCTTTGCAAAGCTGCTTGGTCTTCTAGCTGTGGCTTAGTTTTACTTTATTTTAATGGTTTATATTTCTGCCTATCACTACAGTGTCAGTGGGGTACTAATGTTGTCTGGTGGTACAAGGAAGGTCTACATTTAGGAGAAGTAAATAAGGTTACCTCTTCCCTCTATCAATAAATTAAATCCTCATTAACCTCTGGCAAATCACTTTCTGCTCTTTTCAGACTCGACACTTTATGTAGTAGAGGAAAGCTTGGCTTCATTTTGAAAAAAATAAATGGATTACTTTATTTTGATCAGTCTCTGAACAGTCTACACAGCTGAGCAAAGCATCATCTAAAATATTCTGTGAAAAGAATGAAATCCTTGTACTGTGAAAATTCCCTAAGTATTTATTTTTAAGTCATTGCTAAGAGGAACTGGAATAGAAGGAAAAGTAACTGGTGAATTTTACATTCAGCATTGGAATCACAGAATCACAGAATCACAGCATATGCTGAGTTGGAAGGGACCCACAAGAATCATTGAGTCCAACTCAACTCTGCACAGGACCATCCCCAGGAGTCAGACCATGTGCCTGAGGGTATCATCCAAATACTTCTTGAGCTCTGTCAGCCTTGGTGCTGTGACCACTGCCCTGAGGAGCCTGGTCAGTGCCCAACCACCCTCTGGGGGGAAGAACCTTTTTCTAATATTCAACCTGAATCTCCCCTGACACAACTCCAGGCCATTGCCTGTGTCCTGTCCCTGGTCCCCACAGAGCAGAGTTCAGTGCCTGCCCATCCTCTTCCCCTCCTGAGGAAGCTGTAGCTGCAATGAGGTCTCTTCTCAGTCTCCTCTTCTCCAGCTGAACACACCAAGTGCCCTCAGTGTCCTCACACGACTTCCCCTCAGGGCCCTTCACCATCTTCGCAGCCTCTTTTGGACACTCTCTAATGGCTTCATATCTTTCTGATATTGCAGTGCCCAAAACTACCCCAATGTTGCAGGTGAGGCTGCCCCAGGTCAGAGCAGAGCGGGACAATCCCCTCCCTGGCCCGACTGGAGATGCTGTCCCTGATCCCCCCCCAGGACAGGGTTGGCCCTCCTGGCTGCCAGGGCACTGCTGACTCGTGTCCAACTGACCACTGAGCAGGACTCCCAGGGCCCTTTCCCAACACTGCTCTCTAGCATCACATTCCCCAGTCTGTCTGCACATCCAGGGGCAGAATTCGGCACTTCCCTTGTTGAACTTCAAATGGTTGGTGATTGCCCAGCACTCTGATTTATCAGGGTCTCTCTGCAGGGTCTCCCTCCTTTTGAGGGACACAACAGCTCCTCCCAGTTTTGTATCATCTGCAAACTTGCTCAGTGTCCCTTCCAGTCCCAGGTCTAAGTCATTTATGAGGATGTTGAAGAGCACTGGGCCTAAGATGGAGCCCTGTGGAACCCCATTAGTGAAGGTCCCTCGTCTGATGCCACCCCACTCACTGTCACCCTCTGTACTAGACTCATGAGCCTATTGCTTCCCCACCACATGATGAGTTTATCCAGCTGTGGAATGGACATTTTGTCCAGAAGGATACTGGGAGAGACAGTATCCAAAGTTTTACTGAAATCCAAAAAGATCACATAAGGTGGCTTCCCCTGATCAACCAGGTGGGTCACCTCGTCCTAAAAGAAAATCAGGTTTGATCAGCAGGACTTTCCCCTCATGAAGCCATGCTGGCTGTGACCAATGACTGTATTATCTTTCAGATGTTTTTCAATAGTTCCCAGAGTAATCCTCTCCATAACTTTACTAGGCATTGAAGTGAGACTGACAGGACTGTAGTTTCCGAGGTCCTGCTTCTTTCCCTTCAGGGCAATGTTTGCCAGCTTCCAGGTAGCTGGGACCTCTCTGGATTCCCAAGACTGATCAAAAATCATCGAAAGAGGTTTTGCAATGACATCAGCAGCTCTTTCAGGATTCTTGGATAAATCCCATCAGGCTCCATAGATTTGTAGGGATCCAGCTGGAGCAGCAGATCCCACACAATTTCAGGGTCGACTGGGAGTTGATCATTCTTGCAGTCAAGGGCACTGAGACCCCCTTGGTCTCTGTCATCCATGTTGAAGACTGAAGCAAAGAAAGTATTAAACACCACTGCCTTGTCTGTCCCTGTTTGTAAGGTGACCATCCCCATCCTGTAACAGGCCAAGGATATTTCTATGCTGCCTATTGCCATTCAATATTTGAGAAAATTCTTTTTATTGTCCCCCACGTTTCTGGCAGCTTCAACTCCAATCGAGCTTCGGGCACACAGATTTTCTCCCTACAGCAGCAAGCAGCATCTCCGAATTCTTCCCGTGTCACTTGACCTTGCTTCTACTGGGCATACATCTTCCTTTTTTTTGCCTTATTTCCAAGACAAGATCCCTGTTCAGCCAAGCCAGCCTTCTGCCTCGCCTGCTTGACTCTCAACATTTGGGAATTGCCTGCTCCTGTGCCGTTAGGAGGTGATGTTTGAAAAGTGACCAGTGCTGATGGACCCCAGCACCTGCAAAAACATTTTCCCAGGGGACCTTACTTACTAATTCCCTGAGCAGCCTGAAGTCTGCTACCCGGCATGATTTGTGTAAGTCAGCTTGAAGCATTTGCTACTTTCTAAAAAAATTTAGGAGCAGCTTCTGTTCTTCAGACTAAGCAGCTAATGATCATTTGGGGTGATTGACAGCTTTTTCAGGCTTTTACCAAAGTGTAATTAATTTAATTACATAACTGTAATTAAACTCATTGCTTGCTAAGCACTGCTTTCCCATACTCTCAAGTAGTGGAAAGCCCTGTTGATTCTCTCTTCCTAATAACTATGTTGAGAAGAAATGCAGCTCTTCTCCTTTGTGCTTAGGGGAAAATGCAGAAGGTACAGAACAAGAAAAGTGTCACTGCATTCTCAATGTTCAAAAAGATGGGAATATGAAATAATTGCATATGAAAATTTGCACTGTATTTCAGAGTAGTAATCGACTATTTGCACAACATGTTCCTGTAGAAGGATTTATTGAAGTAGATTGCTGCAGAGTGCTGAATGTCCCTACAGGCACTATGACCCTCCTGAACGTTTCTACTTCTCAGGATACGGAAATTTCAACACATATGGATTGAAGCTGAAGCTTTCACAAGAGCCAGACCCTCTAAGAAGCCAAAGAATTCAGAGACAAAATCTAGTGGGACTGAGTTATGGCAGCCTTGAGTGTTAACCCTCCCATCCTGGGTGCCAACCAAACTGTAGTTAGAGAGAAGGAATTTAAAACTAATTCATTCTTCTTGCAGATGGGCAGAGGAGAACGGCTGCACACTCCAACTGGGGGAGACCACCAAAGTTTCTTAATTTCTGCAGCAGGTCAATTGCCTTTAATCATGCTTTACTCAAGGCTATTTTCAAAAAAGACACATCTGAGCACTAAGCCCAAACAGCCTCCAGTGACTGGTATATACCTAATCTCTCATGGAAATGGAGTTCAGCCTACTGAGTTACTGACATTTCCCTTTCCTCTTTAGATGACTGGTGGAGCAAAACACAGCAGGACAGCTGTTCACTCCAGCACAAAAAACTCATCTGCACACTTTGAACCAATCTACAATGCTATTTATGATTATCATTGTGACCATGACCCTACTTGTCATTGAAGAAAGTTTTCCCAACTGGTGACATCTTCCTGAGGAACACTTTTGCAATAGTACATCTTCTGCAAGCAGAAATCTGTCCTTGGAGCAGTTAAATGAGCTATGTAGAGTCACAGCAACATCTATTCATTCACACAGGTGATTGCAACAGCATGTGTGTCTACATTTGATCTTTCCACCACAAATATATCTATATCTTTTCGGGGATGAAGATGTGGTTGCCTTACACGTACCTGCCCTTTTCCAAGAGAAAGGTCAAGAGCAGTTCCTCAGTGCTTACCTCACTGTTTGGAACAGCAGCTGCTTCTCACACCTTGTGCACAGTTAATTCTGTTAGGTTTTGGCCCTGCACCTCCCTCCCCCGCCACCGACATCGGGTGGTGTTCAGGGCACTTAAGACCTCCCTGGAGGCATTTGACACTCCCCAGCATCCTCTCGCCATCCCACTGAGGGGCTCAGCCATGAATAATGTCCGGTATAATGTCAGCCATATAAGCTCCATCCCCAGCTGTATAATCAGCCACAGAAGTTTCCTCAGTCACAATGAGGTTCTTCTCTGGTTTGATTCCTTTCCTCACTGACATTTATGTGACACGTTTACATATTTACACCTGTCTGTTGCATTAACCAATCGACTGATTACTCTGTGTATTGAGAAGGTCGGAAGAAGAAGTTTGAAGGCTGGGATCCTAGTTTCTCTGATTTGTTGGAAGAGTTTGGCCAAGTCTAAATCTCTTTTCATTACTTTCTATATCTGCAAAGTAAGAAATTCTGTGCAATGATGTTGGGGTTTTATCACCCTAGATATCACCCTGGCATCCTTTGGTTTTTCACTCCAAGAACTGCCTGGTTTTCCCCTACTGAGAGAGCAAAAGTAAGGATTTGTTCTCTCCACACAAGGCACAATTGCAGTGCAGTAGGATACCCTGTGTGCTGCATGTCTGTTTTGAGAGTAACAAGACATTTAACAAATATATTTCCATAAACGTACACAGTATAAATCATCCTCTGGGTACTTTTACCATTCTAGAGGATGAACAGCTGGAGAGCAG